TGCCCGGACATATGGACTTAATTCCTAAGAAAGGAGATGGCCTTGAAGAATGAAAGACTAGGGGGTGGAGAAGACTGGAACGCACGCTATTCAGATGCAGGTTCTTTCCCTCCGTCCAATCGTAGGCTAGCCACAGAGCAGTGAGGCTTCTGATCTGTCGCTGCCCCACGTCGCTAACATATACAATGTCAAAAGCGGCCGGCCACTTTCTGCAGCAGAGGCATTTAGATGACAATATTCCAGATAAACACTGTGATTTTAGAGATTTCCCCCACCCGCTGGGGATAACAAAACATCAGAGTCACAGACGAAGACCAGAAAAGACAGGGAAGAAAATAGCCCATATGCATGGGAACGAGGGTGTCCATTCTGCTAGTCCAACTCCTAAAACAGCAAGGTGTTTAGAGAAGGAAATAACTACCCTTCTAGATAAAACTTTCTTCACTGCGAATGTGGAGAAAGACATAACTTTGCTCCCAAGTCTAATTCCGTGTGGTCTCCAGGGCCTACCGCTCCAGCTATCAGCAGCATCTCTGGCAAGGACAGATGGGAGAGAAGGTGGGACACTGCCCAGGCACCACGAAGGAAAGAGAGTCAGTCCTGGGCTTGACTTAGCTTAGGAGCAGTTATTCTTTCCCTGAAAGGCAGGGTTCCTTTGCCTTGGGGTCTGCAAATGATGGCAACGTTTCCCAAGCTGTGAGAAGGGAAGTAAGTCCCTGTCCTTCCTAGGGACCTTCAAACCTTCAAGGTACCATCTCCGGGACCCCATCTCCTAGAACTCACAGCCTCACTCCTGCCACTCAACTCAGACCATCCCTTAACTAGACCTGAACACTGTCTTCGCACTGGCTGTTCCCCTCTTCCCAAATGCTGTTCCTCAGATATCCACCAGACTCACTCCCTCACCTCCTTCAAGTCTCTGCTCAAAGGATGCCTTCTCAGTGGGATGTTCTCTACTTACCTCAGTCTCTATCACCTTGCTCTGAGTGGAGTTTTATAGCACTTATAGATATCTAACATACTGAGTAATTAATCAATGTGTTATCTTTATTATTTATTGTCGCCTCCCTGCACCAGAATGTCTACTTTCTTTACCAATCTATCCTAAAGTGCCCAGAAGAGTACCTGGCACAGTTCAGTTATTATTTATTGGGGGGAAATCAATAAGAGCATTTCTGTATCCCAAATTCTCCATCAATCCTTCCAGTTACACTGAAGAGAAAGTCTCAGACTGATGATGATCTTCAATAATTTTCTACCACTTGGTCAACTCTTCTCTCTTTTTAATAGTTGGGTTGTTGTTATTGGGGTTTTTTTGTTGTTGTTATTGTTGTTTTTTGAGCCATAAAATCCACCCGTTTCAAGTGCAGAATTCAATGACTTTTAGAAAATGTATGAAATTGTGCCCTAATTTCCCTTCTTAACATAAAGAATGAAGACTTTAGGCTGAGAGCCTTCTCCTGGCAAGACCAGCTGCCGGAATTTAATGACACTGCTGTTTTCACCGGCTACGTTTTTCTGGTTCCTTTCTCCTTTGGCTGGTGACACGGGCTTTCCACTTACAGTGGAAATGTAACGCTTCCTCCGTCAAGACATGTATCTATGTAAAGATGAGTTGATTTAAAAGACATATTAAATAGATAAACACACACATATACACATTGTCCAAAGATGAAGAAGAAATTGAAAGGGTACGAATGAGAACAGTAAAGTTTGCAAAACTGACTCATGAGATCCAGACCTGTGGGTCTCACAGACTTCAGAACTGGAACTAACGAATAGAGAGCAAGGCACTGACACGTGCTCTACGCTCCTCCCTCCATCCCCATCAGATTTGTTGGGAAACTGTTCTTCATGGGTCTCCTGTGTTTCTGCACTGTCAGCAAGGACCTGACTGGCCCTTGTTTCAGGTTCTCATCGCAAAGATGTTTGTATAGACGTTTGTACGGGCTGGTAAGACATTGTTCCTCCCTCTGGAACAAAGGGCGGGTTTGCTGACAGACGGAGAGGATAAAGACGGAGTCTTGATCTGGTGCAAAGGTCAGGCGTGCTCACTGCCTGTTATAAAAGACTCGGGCTCCCTCAGCTCGGGCTCCTCTTCTCTAAGGCAATCCCTCCCCGTGCACATGCTACCTGGCCCGCTTTGCACTGCCCTGTGGGAACAGGGGCTTGGAGGCCTGGCACGGAAAGGCTGATACCCTGGCGACGGCTGCTGTTGAATGTAATCAACTGCCCTTGTCTCTGGGAGCGGCATGTCTTACACTCGCCTGAAACGATGGCAGCTTAGCTTGTGAGTCTGCACGTACGAAGGGACCTAGACCCTCCACAGTTCTTTAAAACCCTCACCTCGTTGTGGATTTCTTCTCCTTGTTTCAAAACTGCAGGCTCCAAGGACTTCAGGGAGACACCCCCACTATCGGTCACAACGCCAACATTCTGCAGAGCCAGCTGGCAGCGCTGCAAGATGTAATCCAGGGTCCCCGTCGAGCACTGCAGAGAGAACCAGAAATCCAGATTATGAGTAAACCCCAACCAACTTAAGTGCAATCGTCTAATCTGATATTCCAGCTCTTTTGCACTCTGGACTCATTCAGGAACCAGCCTCACCTGCTAACACTGCCTTTAGGCCATCATGGTTTCCAATTCAAGCACAGCCACTCAATACTCCCAGGTACCTCCGCCCCGCCCCCATCACAAATCCTCGCCCAGTAGCTGTCCTCAGCTGCCCTAAAACCCCCTCATCCCTACATGGTGAAGTCTACGTATCACCTCACCCAGGAAGCCTCATGCTGGCTGGTGTGCTCTATTCTGCACCACATCCACTCTCACACGGTAAGCGGCTCGAGGACACCAAACGCATCCACCATTCCTCTTCACAGCATTATTGACAACAGCCTGAGTGTCAAATACTTAGGAGGACGAGTGAACGGAAGAGAGAGGATGGGAAGATAGGGAGAAAACGGAGAAAGAGCGCTTGAAGGGTGTGCGCGCATCTTGATTGAAATAGACACTCACACCCTCCCTGCCACAGAGCACCATGGGCAGTCCCCTGGGAAAGCTGCTTGATTACCAAAGACAGGACACTGCCTGTGGGGTCTCAGGACTGAAAGGGGCTTTTAAATGTATATTTAAAATTTCAGAGTGGAAGGGAGAGGGAGAGAGAGAGAAACATCAATGATGAGAGAGAATCATGGATCGGCTGCCTCCTGCAGGCCCTCTACTGGGGATCGAGCCCACAACCCGGGCATATGCCCTGACCGGGAATCGAATCATGTCCTCCTGTATCACAGGTCAATGCTCAACCACTGAGCCACATGGCCTGCGCTGAAAAGGTCTTGTACTCCCTGCCACTTTGTTGTATCCCTTCCACCCCCTCCTCCCCTCTTCCCCACCCTCACTCCCCGTTCTCACACTTCCCATCCTTTTCAGGGCTCCTCCTCTGTTCTCTCGACCCTTTCCTAACGAAGCACACAGCACCCCTGGGTGAGGACTAAGGGTTTTCCTCATCTCTTCAGTTTCCATACCCAACCCTAGTCCGGTCATCTGACCACCAGCCGCTCCATGCGGTGGCAGAACTTAGCAGTACAGCCTGGGTGATGAGCACGCCTGGGGAGCTCAGACATTCCCTGGCACCTCTGTCACTCTCCCCTTCACTGACATCCCCATGGCCAGGAGCCCGACCAAGAGGTAAGGGAAACGTCAGAGCGCAGTCACAGCTAGCACACGCACACGCACACAGACCCACCCCACTTCCTTCTGGCCATCTCCTGCCCTTGACCTTGACAGGCACGAATGCCTCCTCCAACTAGCAACACCTGCCAAGGGCACTTACCTTCGCCAAGAAATATAACCCCAAAGAAGCAAAATACACTTATCCCACGCCGTGAATACACCCCCTAAACCCATCCAACGCAACTCAAAGCTAAAAACGCCAAGTAAACAGAGACTGGAGTCGAGGTAGATGGAAGCAATTTTCCTTTCAAGCTCTCT